TCAGAGGTGGCAATTTGACCTTTTAAAAATTTTTATAAAATTGGCCTCCAGACCCTAGTTTCAAGTGCTACCATTTTATGGGCAGGATTTTATTCCCCTTTATTCTGAAAGAGCTAACCTCCTGGCTGGCCCCGCCTCCCGCAGAATTTAGAGTCCTGCTCATTGCGTTTGTTTCTGCTCACTTTGGCCCAGGCAAAGCTTATCTTGCTTTTAATCCCAACTATGTATTTTCTTTATTTCATTTGTATTTTTTTGTGCTTGCAGCAGGACGGGTTTATCAAAGAACATGATCTCGAGGATTTGAGTCCAGTCAAATCACACAAAGCTGGGCACTCGCCTCTACTATGGTGGGAGCCGCGCCTCCCTTTCCTTCTCCGTCCCTCTCTTCCTTTTTATTCTCCCTTTTCTTTTTCAACTCAGACCACTACCAGAGAATTACACTCCCTGGCCGCTCGTGGGAGTGAGGTTCTTGGCACATCTTCAGAAAAGGAATTTTCTAAGATTTGCATGGCGGAAGGGATGTGGTGTGAAGTTACATTTCCTAGGTTCCAGAACCCCTTGCCCCTAAGCCAGTCCTGGGAAAGGTGCGGCTGGGTTCCAGCAGAACCAGCAGCAAGGCCAGTGTCCAGAGTTCCCGTGCCAGGTTGCAGCCAGTGTGGTTCGGAATCCAAGCTGACTAAAGTCCATTAGTCCATGTGTGGAGGCCCACGTGGCCGTGCACTAGGTGGGTGCAGGGGAGCGCACCCCCTTGCCACAGGAGAGCCAGGAACCTGGTGCATGAGAGGGAGAAGAGTAAGAGGGGAGAACAGGAGCTTCCTGTGTTAGGAAGTTTTCAATATTCAGGTTTCATGTATTTGCAGTGGCCACACCCATCCTAGTAGCCACTCATTTGTTCCCAGGTGTGACTGGCAGACAGATAGGTGCCTTTGCACATCACGCGGACCTTACTGGGCATGTGTCTAAACTGCCTTTGTCCAGTCCCTTCCCCATCGATCAGCGGGGAACAGACGTGGAGAGTGTTAAATGCAGCTTTTTTGCAAAGCTGTACAAATGGCCTGCCTCTACTATTTGGTCTTCTCTTGCTCCTTTCCTGTAAACTAACAACCAGGTTATTACAACAGCATCAAACCATGTGCCAAGCACCATATTTTACACACAATAGTTTCATTACCATTTTACAGGAAAGGAGACTAAAGCCAAGAGCAGGTGACTTGCTCAAGACCATTCAGGCGTGTCAGGGGTGACTCCAAAACCATACCTTGCCTTCACCTTGAAGTTGCTCCTCACTGCATCCTTTGGTGGGGGCTGGGATATGTTTTACCTTTGTCCTTTGGTCCATCATCTTTATGAAATAAAGTCTTTAATAAAGTGAGATTACTGAGACAATGCTAAATGAAATAAGAGGGGGGAAAATATATTATTCTAGACAGTTTCCTCTATTTCCTTATCTATTTTCATTGGCCATAGAAACATTTACTTGAAATTCCTAATGTTAGTTTTTAGCCAAAGCTTTACAAAATATAGGAAGGATTTTTAGAATCAGTAAATGTTTCCAACTGCATTTACCTTTACTCATTTTTGTTGGTGTTGTTATAAAAATGAGTACGTATATCCTGAAAAACAAAAATCTTCAAGTTTGGGATCTGTAGCTGTAGAAATCAAGAAAACAGATTCTTGTTCAGTAGAAAATATCATTATGCAAGTAACTACAAGAACGTGGTGTGCCAGTACAGCTTCATTAATGAGTTCCGACTGTTGAAAGGATGTTCTGGAAGGAGAGATAAGCAGTTGTCAGATGTTCACAGGCCTGTGCCAAATCTTAGATTTAAAGATATATTTGCAGAGAAATGTAGATAACTACTCATCTCTGCCAAGAGTTTTAAAATATCTTCTGTGCAATTTAGAGACAGAGAAGCATTGATCAGACCGTCAAATATCTTCTGTGCTTGAGTGAAATGCACTATAAAATAGCATAATGTTGCAAATTAACGACAATACAATCCCTTTGTTTTCATGCAGAACTGAGGAGTTAGACACTGATATTTATGTGGCATTTGACCAAATGAGAAAAGGTTACATTTTAATGTTGACCATAATGGACATATGTGAACCTATATGTACATGTAATGTTTATAAAAAGAATATATAATTTCTTTATTTTTATGGAACCCTTGACCTAAGACAACAAAAAATCAATTTAAAAAATTGTGTGAAATGCTTTTCAAATAGGAACTGCAACAAAGAATGACACTTTTCCCACTCTAAAGAAGTTGTTGTTGTTGTTGTTCTTTTAAAATTTAAAACAAATAGATTAAAGAATTACAACAATTATGCTTTTTATTTCCTAGATAAGAATTTTCCCTTTATGATTACATAAAATGTTTCTTTTTTTTTTCAGAAGGAAATCTACTACTTCACATTTTTCATTTATTTTTTTGTGCTCTCATATTTTCCCCAATATTTATTTCTAAGCTCAGCATTTCTAAGGGACTTGAAAATAGTCTCATTATTCTGATGGGCAATTCCTTTAGTTCCCCAACTATGAACTTCCTGTATGCATTCTTGCCCAAAGGAATTTAGGGCTGTAAACGTTGGAATATTTATTAGTTTACTCCAGTGAACTCTTGTCCACAGAGAACATTCCCTCACATATTGATGTGTGTGACGTGCAGCACCTTTCACTTGGGTGGGAACTGGATGGCAAATGGGATGAGACAGGACACAGAATGATCTGGGGGACGTTTCAGCAAGGAGCACCACTCCACAACCTGTGCACATGGAAACCCCGGCCCAGAGAAATGACTCCTTAGGAAGCACCAGCCCATCATTTCCTGGGCTGAGGGGTAGACAGTCAACCAGACCATGCTTTCCAGCCATCCTCTCCACAGATAGATACCATGAATGCATGAACCTAAACTATGCACTTGGTGATCTAGATTTCTATGTTTTGTGTTTGACCTTTTATGTGATGTGACTTCAGATGGAACTTTGAGGCTGGAGCCCAGATTTTCTTTTTATCTAATATTCTAGTAATATCTTTGAAAGATTTCCTTAGTAGAGAATAAAATGTTTAAACTTGCCAGTTTAAATAATTGTTACTTATGATTTCTATTTATGCAATTATTATAATTATTATTTTTAGTGTGCTCTATTCACGGTGTTTAGTCTTCCCTATAGAACCAGTTCAAAGTTATTATTATTATTAACTAATAATTATTGAGTGTTTAGCATTGTTCTAAATGCTTTACATGTATTACCTCATTAAATCCCCAAATCCATATTAATATCTTTCTCTATAAAAAGTGAGATTTTGTTGGCTAGCTCAAAAATACACAGTAGCTACATGGAAGAACCGAATTTCAAATGAAAATGTTTCTAATTATTTTTTTAAAATATATATTTTATTGATTTTTTACAGTGAGGAAGGGAGAGAGAGATAGAGAGTTAGAAACATCGATGAGAGAGAAACATCGATCAGCCGTCTCCTGCACACTCCCCACTGGAGATGTGCCCGCAACCCAGCTACATGCCCTTGACCGGAATCGAACCTGGGACATCTCAGTCTGCAGGCCGATGCTCTATCCACTGAGCTACACAGGTTTTGGCATGTTTCTAATTATTATACAATTACAATACAGTTTACTATTAGTGCTTAAAATAATTAATTGTTTAAACACAATGGAAATGAGCCTTGGCTGGTGTGGTTCAGTGGTAGAGAGTTGTCCCATGCACCAAAGGGTTGTGGGTTCGATTCCCGGTCAAGGGCACATACCTGGGTTGCAGGTTCATTCCCCTGGTCAGGGCACATGCGGGAGGCAACCAACTGACGTGTCCCTCTCACTTCAATGTTTCTCTCCCTCTCTGTTCCCCTCCCTCCCTTCCACTCTCTCTAAAAATCAATGGAAAAAATATTCTTGGGTGAGGATTAACATAAACAAACAAAAAAACAATGGAAATGAGATTATACAAAACATAAAAATCTCACAAAATGATATAATGACATGCATCTAGCCAGTAGAGCTAGTATTAGAAAACTCTCTGAAATAGAAGGAAAGTTTGCTTGCTTTCTTCCTTGCTCCTCTACAGGGGGAATGGAGATATATGTTCACCGTTGTCCCATCCCAACAGAGGTCCCCAAGATGGGGTATGTTTATATGGTGCAAGCAACCCAGGAAAGCCAGCAGCATGGACCAGTAAGAAAGAAAAGAGAGCAATGTTTCCCTAAGCCTTTGATTCCCAGAGGGAAAAGCCACGGGTGAGGGGAGAGAGGGGGTGAGAGGTTGGCATGGCTGGCTCATGTTTCTGCTGCGTGTGCCCTGCCTCTTCCATCCGTACCCAACTGTCCTCACAATCTCAGCTGTGTCAACAAAGCAAACAACAAACCAAATGTCAAACATCTATTACAAGTGACTAAAGGCAGGACAAAGACATCTTAAAATGCAAAGTTCTGCCATAACCGGTTTGGCTCAGTGGATAGAGCGTCGGCCTGCAAACTGAAAAGTCCCAGGTTCGATTCCGGTCAAGGGCATGTACCTGGGTTGCAGGCACATCCCCTGTAGGAGGTGTGCAGGAGGCAGCTGATCGATGTTTCTCTCTCATCGATGTTTCTAACTCTCTATCCCTCTCCCTTTCTCTCTGTAAAAAAATCAATAAAATATATTTAAAAAAAAATAATAAATAAAATGCAAAGTTCTGACTCCATCCTCTGAAGGTTGGTGGGCAGATACCCTCTTACTCAGAAGTCTTTTTGTAATAAAATTAAATTTGGTTATTTCACTGGAATGTTCCAGCTAGTTCTTAAAAAGAGTCCTGATGTTATTTCAAGTCATCCCATATATTACTAGGATAGTGATTTATAATTATGGTTTTGAAATATCTTTTAATATCTCCTGTTATCTCAAAAGATGCCATAAAGTTTTCAAAATGTCCCCAAAGAAAAATGTTGGACATCTCTAGAGGGCTGTAAAAATAATCCCTCCACTTTTCTCTTTCCAGAATTACACAATGCCAAGCTACAAGCTCATTTATTTTAATATGAGGGGGAGAGCAGAAATTATTCGTTACATATTTGCATATTTGGACATAAAGTATGAAGACCACAGAATAGAACAAGCTGATTGGCCTGAAATCAAACCAAGTAAGTAGCACAAATAATAGTTGATGAAAATGTAGTGAAAATATTTTTCCAGAATGTTTTCTTTCTTCAGGGAAATGAAAAACTAAAGAATTTTAATCTCACATAGCTTTATATTGAGAAACAGCAGTTCAGGCAAGCTAAGTAAATGCTGTGTGACCAAAAAAATTTCCTATTCGAGGTGAAAATACAAACACCAGAGAAAGAGAATATAAAGATAAACCAATACGTCAGAAGAGCTGAAATGGGGATACTGAAGTCAATTTTTTTTTATCCTCACCTGAGGATATTTTTCCATTGATTTTTAGAGGCAATGGAAGAGGGAGGGAAAGACAGAGAGAAATATTGATATGAGAGAAACACATTGATTGGTTGCCTCCTGCACCGACCCCAACCAGGGCCCAGGCCTGGGAGGAGCCTGTAACCGAGATACGTGCCCTTGACTGGAATCGAACCCGGGACCTTTTGTCTGCAGGCTCACGCTCTATTCACTGAGCCAAACTGGGTAGAGCTGAAGTCAATATTCTTGACAATTAGAGTTGCTACAGATCTCTATGTTTTCACAGTGGATCAGATGTGCTGCTCTAACAGAAAACCAGACTCCAAGTGGCTTAAATAATAATTTTTTAAAAAATGAATTGTATCACAAAACTGAAAACCCAGAAGTAGAACAGGCTTCCAAAGATGGCTTTATTCATTTCCTCCTCTGTGTGTTGGCTGTATCATGAGGCTGGTAGCCATGTGCTTACTGCAATTCCAGCCACACAGCCTTGAACAGCAATGCTAAGAGGGTATATGAGAAAGAGTAAGGGAGAGAACTGCTCCTTAAGTGTTTCCAGAAGAATAAAGAAAAACTTTCCCAGAAGCCCTCAGCAAATTCCCCATGTCTTGCTGGCACAAACTGAGTCACATGTCCATTTCTGAATCAGTCACTGGCAAAGGGGATGGGGAGAACCTGAGAACCACCCAGTCCCCCTCTGAAGTTGGGGATGGAATCAATTTCTATGAGGCATGTGACTATATAAGAGGGGGGTGGATATGAAAACAAAACTGGGATCTGTTTGACCAGAGAAAAGAGCAAATGGACAAATCAGTCGGGTAACCCAATCAAAACATGCAACTTAGCACTGAGGACAATGGGGAAGAATTGGAAATATCATTACATTTAACAAACAACAGTGTGTGGTTCTCAATAAGCTGCAAGTCATCCTCTGTAAGATGTTTGCCATGTTATCTAGAAATATTAAATACTAATTACACCTAAAATCCACATATTTATCTCTGGATTATTATAAAATCACATAAGGATGAATTTGAAGAAAATAACTATTGGGTCCTTGAAGACTAGCTGGCACTTGGTAGATACTCTACAGCCTCTGTTGCATTTAATTTATCTAGCATGCCTACATGGGATATATTATTATTTTTATTCTATAATTGGGATAACTGAAGTGCACAGAGTTCAGGTAATTTTCCCAAGTTCACAGCCCTGGCAATTTTGAAACACAGGCCAATTTCATACTATGACCTGAGCTTCTTGTCTTAGATACTGCTGACAGCAATAACACTGTGGTAAATGGGATGTAAACAATAAGTATTGCGAGGTGCCTTTGGGAAGCATGAGTTCCTTAAAAGCCACTCTTTGTTATCAGAGAATTCTTCTCTGGTGGGGTAGAATATTTTGTTTTCTGTTTTCATGAAAATTTGCCATTGATGTCTACACATTTCTTCCAATATCAGAATTTTTATATGGGGTTTTTCATTCTGTAGACATAAAATAGGTGAACATTAATTCTACCATTAAGTCAAGAGGTAGAGATAATACATTTAAAAATGTCAGCTTTTAGATACGGTTTTAGATTTTTTTAGTGCCTCATACCCTATTTTACCTTAACGTTTCATTGTTTTTGAAAAATGGAATTGCTGGATTTTCTTAATATTTTAAAAAATATTTTTATAGAGTTGAAAGGGATCTTAAAGTTTATGATAGTTAGGATATGGTGTCAAATAACAGAGACCGAATACAAAAATGATTTAAAGAGGATAAAAATTTATATCTTTTGCATAAAAGCCCACATATATACACTATAATTGTTTTTCAATAAATATGGGAAAGCAATAAAATACTAAAATGGTTATAATTATGTAGTAGAACTATTTTTATTTATCTTCATTTTAGAAGCTTTCTATAATATATATTGCTTTCTGACAAAAATATAATAGGTTTGATAACAAAACAAAGTAGGGCTTACAGACTAAATATTAATATGATATCTGCTATGAGTCTGTCCTATGTTTGTACAAATATGCTTGCTGCCTTACCATATACTTCAAATAGTCCCTCATCAAAAAGAGAATTTTGCTAAATTCCTTACCATAATTCAACATGTGAGTCAAGCTCTCCATATTACTCAGACTATGGTTCTAAAGAATAATTAATGTGATCTCTGATTAAGGCCTCAAAAATTAATGAAGCTTTAAAAAAAAGTGTTTTTTTTTTTAAATTAAGTAGTAAGCATATGTAAGTACTAGTATATGAGATAATGCATGGTATAATATAGAGTTAACTGGGTTTTCGACCTGGTTCTGTCATTAACTGTATAGAAGGTCTTCTAAAAAACAACTCTATTTAAAAAGAACAACAACAAACTTGTAAAATGTAAAGATTCCACTTGAGGATGCTTAATGTCTCTTTTAAAATAAATATTCAAGAATTCCATGACTTTAAAATCATGCCTTGTTTCCACAATTATCAGTAAAAAATTGGAGTATTGTAATACTTGATTTTATTATGGAAGTTGATTCTTTCCTCTTTTTATTTTAAGCTCTTCCATTTGGCAAAATCCCCATTTTGGAAGTTGATGGACTTAATCTTCACCAGAGCCTAGCAATAGCGAGATACTTGACCAAAAACACAGGTAATATGTGTATTGTGTTTTTAAGATTTTTGATGACTGACAAAAAAATTAGTCCTGGCCGGTGTGGCTCAGTGGATAGTGCATTGGCCTGTGGACTAAAGGGTCCCAGGTTCGATTCCGGTCAAGGGCACATACCTTGGTTGCAGGCTCCTCCCCAGCCCGGGCCCTGGTCAGGACTCATACAGCAGGCAATTAATCGGTGTGTTTCTCTCACACCAATATTTCTCTCCTGCAACCCAGGTATATGCCCTTCACCGGAATCGAACCTGGGACCTTTCAGTCCACAGGCCGACGCTCTATTCACTGAGCCAAACCGGTTTCGGCCAAGTTTATTTTTTAACCAAAATAATGTGTATATAAAATTTATGTTGCACTAACACATATTTCAACAAATGAAATTCTTTGCAAGTTTAGAAGAGATGGAGATTCCTTCTGACTATGAAAGTTTGACTTTGAAGTGGAAATGACATTTGAGTTGAGCTTGAAGGATCCCTAGAATTTCCAAAGGAAGACTTGGACTTGGGCAGTGTTTCCCAGACTGTGTGTGCATCAGGATAGCATGGAGGCTCATTAAAACTCAGAATGCTCAGCCTTGACTGCAGAGATTGTGACTCAATCATCCTGGGGTAGGACCCAAAAGTTTGCATTTTTAACAATTTCCTCGATGATGCTGATGCAGCTGGTCCATGGACTTCATTTGGAGAATCTTTGGGCTAGAACACTCCAGGCAGAGAGAATATGAAAAGCACTTTAAATTTGCAGAGTTGCCCTAGCTGGTTTGGCTCAGTGGATAGAGTGTGGGCCTGCAGACTGAAGAGTCCCAGGTTCGATTCCAGTCAAGGGCACATGCCTGGGTTTCCAGCTCCATGCCCAGTAGGGGGCCTGCAGGAGGCAGCCGATCAATGGTTCTCTCTCATCATTGATGTTTTTATCTCTCTTCCTCTCTGAAATCAATAAAAATAATTAAAAATTTTAAAAGAATTGTAGAGTAGAGTAGCAGAAAAAGAAACCGATAGAAAAAAAGATTGGGATCTGGTTAGAAAGATTCACAATATGGATGTCATTTCTTTTTTTTTTAATTAAATCTTTATTGTTCAGATTATTACAGTTGTTCCTTTTTCCCCTCCCATAGCTCTCCTCCACCCTGTTCCCACCCTACCCTCTGCCCTTACTCCTCCCTCTGTCCTCATCCATAGGTGTACGATTTTTGTCCAGTCTCTTCCTGCACCCCCCAGATCCCTTTCCCCCAAGAATTGTCAGTCCACTCCCTTTCCATGCCCCTGGTTCTATTATATTCACCAGTTTACTATGTTCATCAGATTTTTTATTCACTTGATTTTTAGATTCACTTGTTGATAGATGTAATTGTTGATCATAATTTGTATCTTCACCTTTTTCTTCTTCCTCCTCTTCTTAAAGGATACCTTTCAGCATTTCATATAATACAGGTTTGGTGGTGATGAACTCCTTTAGGTTTATTTTTTATCTCTGAAGCTCTTTATCTGACCTTCAATTCTGAATGATAGCTTTGCTGGGTAAAGTAATCTAGGTTGTAGGTTCTTGCTATTCATCACTTTGAATATTTCTTGCCACTCCCTTCTGGCCTGCATAGTTCCTGTTGAGAAATCAGCTGACAGTCATATGGGTGCTCCCTTATAGGTAACTAACTGCTTTTCTCTTGATGCTTTTAAGATTCTCTCTTTGTCTTTCACTCTTGGTATTT